TTGTCCTTGAAAGCAAATGTGAAGTTAAAATAATGAAATAGTACTTGAATCTTCTCACTCATCATGATAGCAATTGAGTCTAAACAATGAGGAAAAAAATTTTCAAGTTCTTTTTTAAATGTATAGTTATTGGATTTTTATTGAAAACTCTGTTCAACATTAAATTATGACTATTTTGCATTGGTACAGCATTTTATTTTATTTATTTTTTATTTTTTATGAGCAGAATATATTTATTGAGAGAAAGAAAGCTCCTGTCCGAGAAAGGGACAAGAGGAGGGCCCGAGCAGGTAGTTTCTCTAATATAGTATTTTAAAGTAGGTGACTTTAAGCCATCTTTTTCTATATGAAGAAAATTATTTGTTTTGCAAATTTGTAAATGCTCTCTCCTTCAAACCAAATTATAATACACAACTATGGGAGGGTTCCTATTAAAAGTAGCAATATTTTTATGAGCGTAGTATGGACAGGGTTCAAATGCTAGGATGAGTGGATTTCACTGAATATAAATTATATTTTGGGTTTGAGATGAAACCTCAAAGTCTCTGGTGAGACTTCCCCTCTCTTCTCAAGATCTAGGTCCTGGGATTGCACTCTAGTAATAGAGGTAGGCAAGCAGAGCTGAACAGAGATAAGAAACAAGCACAGGACAGTTCAGAAATGCTTCTCTGTAGGACAGATGGAAAGGCTGATCCTGTTTTTCAGTAGGGACAGAGGACAAGCACAGTTCCAAGGTGCGTTGAGTTTACTGTAATGGTGGAGTGGAAAGAAGGACTCCAGAGGCAAGGGCACCTGCGGGGGAGAACAAGCCCAGCCCCTCATTGTGGGATGCTGGAGAGCAGTAGGTTAGGGTGACTCAGCGCCTCCCTGGATGAGGGTGCTTTTCTCAGCATGGGCTGATTCTCAGTGCTGACAGAACCTTCCTTAGAATATTTGTGATTGTCACATTAGTCTTGGGATTTGCTCCTTTACGCACAATGCCATTGTACAATTAAATTCAGTTAATCAAAGCGGTTTGAATAGCATCTATTGCGCTGTGCTATGCTAAATAACCGCACTAAAGAAAAAAATGTTGATGTAACAATATCATATAAGCCAAGAATTTAAATTTTCTATGAAATCATAAGGGAATAATCTTTTTTTTCTTGGTATAGTTCTTTCTTTTTTTTATTTGATGCAGGATCTCACTACGCAGCTCAGTCTTGTAGTGATCATCCTGTTTTTAGCCTCTCCAGAGCTGGAATTTCAGGCATTTGCCTGCATGCCTGGTCTCAGTGGCCAGCTCAGCACGCCTGGGGCAGGGCTGGCACAGAATATGGTGCCAGAGATCAAACCCCTGTCCCAGCATTTGCCTAAGTAGGCGCTTAGTCTGCTGAGCTATCTTGCTGGCCCATGAGAGCAATCTTAATTTGTCTTGCAAAAGAGAGTGATTACTTGTGAGGTAACTTAGTAATGATACTTTTTTCTTATTTTTTAACTTTCATTTTTTTCTTCTCATATGTTTCTTTTGAATGAATGCACTACTCTATTTCCAGAGTTCTGTAGTATTCTGTCACAGAATGACATTTGTTTGGGTTCCATTTCAAACTCAGGCAACGGATGCACAAATTAATGACTGATTGAACAGCACAGTATGTACCATGTATACGTTTAATCCCAGACTCTTAATTCACATACATTACAAGGAGGATAATACTCAGTCCTTTAAAGCCTCATGTTGTAAGCTGCTACAGTCACTATTACACAGTCAATCCTGGACACATTAGTGGGAAAAATTAGTCCCACATAATTGACATTATTTTGAAAAGACATGAAATTTCATTCTGGTTTGAAAACAAGTTTAAATTGATTCACATTGGCCTGTCATACTCATCATTGTTTTTATACATAATTTGAATATGAAGTTAAAATCTTGGTGTTTTAAAACTTTCTAATTCATGATGGTAAACTATACATGTCTGAAGAGTGGAGGGACATGTCACAGGTGATATGCTATGCATATTTTAAAATTTACTTGTCTTTGTGCAACTATGCGGTTCTCCTTTCATTAATTTATGGGATGTTCTCCAATGACTTATGTCACACTATGAAGGATGACTGGTAACGGGAGAGTAGAGCCAGCAGCCACACTTTTTTTATTTTTATTTTTATTCTTTTTTGTTTTTCTTTTTCTTTTTTATTTTTTTTGATATCTTTTTTTTCCAAACCAAATTGGTAGGACAGTTTCAATAATTAACACATTACATACATTCTTCTTAGTGGTTAATTGCTGTATAAGATGTGAGCTTGATATCCTATCTACAAACACTATTAGAACAAATCCCTCTATTCATTAAGAGAATGTAACTATATATCTAACCTAACCACTTTGAATGCACAGATACAAAATGGACATTCATCTGTATACCCTTTTTCTGTTAAGTTCCATCATTTAACTATTATAGGTGTGTAAACTCAGCAAAATATGCTAAAAGAGTCCAATATCCCTTAATAGTATTGGGTCTTCCACTTGACTGGCAAGCTCAACATAACAGCATGGCTTTACATCTTATATTTCATTTTTATACTTTTTTGATGGATGGTTAAGACCAAGATAAAGCAGAACCCATGCAACAAAATTTGTAGTTTTTGGGTCTGATAAGGTCAGTGAAATCCCCTCAGGATTTATCCTGAGATCCTGTACCTCAGATTGTAGAACCTTTGTCAGTGTCAGCCACGTGGATGAGTCATGGCCATTGCTTGGCCAATGTGCTCTCTGTGAAAGCCTGAGAGAAGGTTTTCTCTCCATGTGACTCTCCCTAGGCACACTCTACATCATTGATCACTTTCCTCTTTGGCTCCATAATCTCTATGAAAACGTGGGACACTACAGAGTTATATGACGTTACAGTACAAGTTCTCATATGTCCTGAGTCTTAATTGACCTTGGAAGGTTAGGGCCAAAATGTTGGCTTTCCTTGCTCTGGCCACACTTTTTAGTAGATGGATGCTGTGTTTAGATAAATGAAGTGAACAAAGGCCCTCTGAGAGAAGGCATGATGGTAGCTTCAGATAAGTTCATGTTACACATTTTTATTCAAAAATTATTAGTTCATATTTGTAATATATAATGTTTACATTCCTATGGGGAATTGGTACATGCACATAATACATCTTAATTCATTTTTTTAATCCCCTTTCTCTTTCCCTCTGCCCTCATATATTTCTTGATCACCTTCCGTGTTTTATACACGTTTACAATAATGTTTATACTTCTTGTATGGAGCTGATGCTTGTTGAGCTGACACCACAGTGACCTGAACTAATAGGCCGGAGCAGATGGGTGTGGGAACTCTTGGGCACAGCACAGAAAATGTGCTGAAATCCCGGGGTGCAAGGCTGCGATCTCCCTCCAAGGCCCACCACACTCTCTACAGGGGCCTCAGCTGACCTGACACACTGGCCACATCTGCAGCCTAGATGGAACGTGCCTCATGTGTACATTTTAACTGTCTACTTCCACCTTTGTGCAGGGCACAGTGATGACATTCGCAGTGGGGAGGAGCTGGTCTATGTGAGCAACACATCTCAATTCTTCCGTGCCCATTTCCCCTTCTATCTCCATTACTTAGTTCTTTCCCTTTAAAAATGCTCTCTCTGCCTCCGGTTAGCTCTTTTTTTGTGATCTTTATTTACATTTCACTTCTCAGGTAAAAGAAACCAAGTGTTTTGCAAGCTTTTTGTGGCATTTCCTTTAGGAAGCTTCATGGTCTTGTGGTTTATGCATTTGACTACTAAAACTGTTGTTTATCGTAATCTAAAGATGGCAAAGGAGTACACCGCTGTGTGTACACATGGTGTTTGCTCTGTCATTCTCTATGTGTGGATGTGTAGGCCATGCCTGGAGTTGAGCAACCCTGAGCTGTGATGCCACAAGCATAGGTGTGCCAGCATCCTGGTGGCATGATGCTTTTAAGCCACTATTTTGCTTTTTAGATTCAACAGGTGGCCCACAGCTTTACACTACGAGGAATCAGACACTTCTGAGGGGATTCTTGCTCCTGAGACTGACAGACAGCAGGGCTCTTCTGGGGCTGCAGGCTGCCCTCTTGTCTCTGGCTTACCTGGTGGCCACACTGGAGAATCTGACCACTGTCCTCCTCACTGTTCTTGACTACCGCCTCCACACCCCCATGTACTACTTCCTCAGGCATTTGTCTTATTTGGACCTCTGTCTCATTTCTACTACAGTCCCCAAATCAATTGTAAACTCAGTCACCATGAACAACTCCATTTCTTTCATGGGGTGCATGTGTCAAGTCTTCTTGGTGGTCCTCTCAGCAGGGTCAGAGGTGGGAATCCTGACTGCCATGTCCTATGATCGCTATGTTGCCATCTGCCAACCTCTGCACTACGAGGCTGTCATGAGCAAAAGGTGCTGTGTCCACTTGGTGGCTGTGTCCTGGCTCAGTGGACTGTTCTTTGGGATTTTGTACTCAGCTGGAACATTCTCCCTGGATTTCTGTGGTTCCAAAAGGATTAACCAGTTTTTCTGCGATGTTCCTTCCCTACTAAAGCTCAGCTGTTCTGAGGAGCATGCAGCTATCAATGGCAGTTTGGTCCTTGGCGTCTTCTATGGATTCTCATGCTTGGTTTGCATTGTGGTCTCCTACGTGTTTATTTTCTCTACTGTGATGAAGATCCCATCCAGGCAGAGCTGGTCCAAAGCCTTCTCCACCTGCACACCCCACCTCGTGGTTGTGCTCACCTTTCTGCTAACAGCTACAGTTGTTTACCTTAAGCCAGCCTCCGATGCGTCTCCTATTCTAGACCTGCTGTGCTCTGTGTTCTACTCTGCGGTACCCCCAACACTGAACCCCATCATCTATTGTTTGAAAAACAGGGACTTTCAGTCAGCTCTAAGTAATCTTCTAAGGAAAGCCAGGCATGAGTTAATGGAAACATAACTACAGTTGAAGTGGGGTATCTCTTGCCCTTTCTTTCACTACCCAACTAGCTGCTGATATGATTCCTGTTTAATGGTCAATATATCCCTGGGTCTTCTCACGGAGATCTCAGCTTCAGTGGAAAGTAAGCCATCTCTTAAGCTTATTCACTGCACATTATTTTTTTATTAGAGCCAGTACAATTGTTTTCTATTGTGCCTTTGCTGATTTTTCTTCTGGGTCTGCCATTCTATACACATGAGAGTTGTGGGAACTTCTTGTTCCTCCTAGCACTCAACATTGCTGGTTCATTCTGTACTTTTTCAATGTTTGTTTTTCTAGATTTTTCACTGTGTTGTGCACTTTACATTGAATAAATTGTATTTCTCACTTCCATTCTTCAAAGAAAATTACTTTAAATCAAATTTATAACTAAATATAAAATCTTAATTTTAAAATAACCTTAATTGTATTCTTGGTTTCAATTGTTGCTTTTAATATTTCACATCTTGTTTGTTCTTAAATAAGTTAATGATTTCTTGGTTCAGACATTTTTCCCCTTTCTGAACTCTGTTTGTATTTAATATGTGCATTCCAGATGCCTTGTACTTATGCAGTAGAATTTATGTAATTGGGATTGGCTATTACTACTGACGCTGCAGTAAGTCTTGTTTCTTTCAGATTTTCAGTCTTACAAGGGACTTGCAGTATACCCAGTACGGAAAGTGATGTTCGTCTCTGGCTGTAGGTCATAGTTCTCTCAGCCTGCTCGCTATGCTCAGTGCTAACTTCAGAACAGGGAAATACCTGCTGACCATCATCACTCCATCACACACCTGAACATCTGTCAGTCCTCCCACAGGGCAGGAAGTGGCATGCAGAGCAGCTGGCCTATCTGAGGCTGGGGAGGGTGCAGTGTGGCTTTGGGTTCAGAGCAAACAACACACAATGTAGCAAATCCTCTAACTAATGGCAATACCTCCATCAACTGTCTCTTCACTATATATCTTTGAAATTTGCACCTATGTCATGTACTCTTCCATTGGTACAAATTTAACTTGAATTTAAAAGTGTATTTTAAATCCAAGGTAACTGAGGAAATGTAAAACATCTGGTTTTGGGTCAGCCAGATAGTTCAGCAGACTAAAACACATGCTTAGGCAGAGCGCAGTGGTTGGGGTTAGGTAGAGCACATGGCACCACAGGCCATGAGGGCCCTGCCCACAGGGCACACTGAGACAGTGATTGAGACTGGGCATGGTGGCACACCCCAGTAATCCCAGGGCTTTGGAGGCTGATAACAGGAGAATCACTATGAATCCAATCTACATAGTGAGACCCTGTAGACCCTGTACTAAATACAAAAAATAAAAAATAAAAAACAACAACAAAAACAACAACTTACTTTTTAAACATTTAGTTTCTAATTTTTGGTCTCTAAAACCTTAAATTTGAATTTGAAAGATTAATCATACCTTCTAATGAAAAAAATACATTGATTAATGTAATTTAAATATCTTTTAGTAAGCATGTTGATATTATACATGAAGTAATGCATATATGCCTGCATAGAGTGTTGATGTATAAACTTATTTATTAATTTTATAATGAAATGCATAATGTTGAGCATCAAACATATCTGTTTTTATTTCCTCTTTAACATTCCTCATGTTCATTCAATTTATGTCAAATGAAAAGTGTCTTTTGGGGCCGGGGAGTTAGCTCAGTAGAATAAGTGCTTGCCTGGCAAGCGCAAGGGCATGAGTTCAATCCTCGGTTCCGAAAAAAAAAAAAAAGAAAAAAAGAAAAGAAAAGTGTCTTTAAATAAAAACATTGTATTAAATGAGCATGCAATATTTTAGTTGACTCATTTTTATAGAATCACTGAATTTCAAAATAAAAAATGTGTATTTGAGTCTCAGTTCTTCAGAGACTCAATAAATTTGAAGAGCAGTCACAGTGACATTGTACAAATGTCATTGTAAACAGAATTTATACTTTAAGTGGAAAATAAAATCATTGGAAGTCAGATGAACAGAAACTGAGGGAACTTATTTTTAAAATTATGGTGAAGAGAAGTGCCTCTGGTATTCCATGTAGATTTAAAAATATTCTGGGTCATCGGTGTTTGGCTTTGTAGTGAGTGTTCTCTAACCAACTTGCCTGCCTTCCACTGTTTTATGACTTTTTTTAACAAATGCTGACATTTGTCAGCTGAGGCAGTGTTATTGGTGATTCGTTACGTCATCTTGGGTCTGGAAGCTTCACCTAGTGTGCAACTGTTCTACATCCTAAGGAGCGCAGAACATGCCCTCCAGAGACTGTCCACACCCGAGCTTGTTGTAATGGCTGATGCATGATGCCAGTTTGAGAAGTTGAGACATTTTAGTGAGTGACTTCATAGAGGGCCAAGCACCTCATTTGGTAAACTTCCTGAGCCTGTGCAAGAATTGGGCCCAGATATGGTGTGAGTGATTTGCCCTCCTTGGGGTGGTTTTCTTCTTATAGGAGAGCAGCATGCCTTGTTTTCAGTCCTCTTCTCATTTTTTTTTTTTTTGCTGTCTTCTTCACCATGAGCAGTTTTCCCTCGGCTAGGCCACTTTGCCATGGAGACAGCTGATTGCAGACTGAAGCCTCCACGCACTGTGAGCTAAATAAGCCTTTCCTCCTTTCCTTTGGGTGTCAGTTATTTTATCACAGCAAGCAGAGAAAACTAAGTAAGACAGGCTTTGGCAAGACAGTTCCTGGAGAGCCTGGAATGTATCAGGCCACTTCTCTGGTGCCCTCTCATATCTGACCAAAAATACAACTGGGGTGATGATGATTCCTTGAAAAGAGGAACTCTATATCCACTTAACTGAAAGGGTAATTGGGAATAATTGGTTTCCTCTGACTGTGAAACTACATGTGTATCAATGTGCGGAAATCTTCAGGGTGAGTTTTTATGAGTTTATAGAGGATCATGATTTGGGTATGATGTAAAATGCTATCTAATATTTCATTTCTGACACTACATTTAACAATGTTAGATCTAGACTGCTTTGTTTGTGGACTGATAGATCTATATGCCATTTTATGTATCTGATTTGATACACTGAATTTTTTTTAAGATCCCTCCATTTTTTATTTGTGATTTAAAGCAATATAAGTTAGAGACTGGCATGGTGGCATCCACCTGCAATCTCAGCTCTTGGGGACCTGTAAACAGGTGGATCACTATTGTCTGATCTAATAGTGAGACCCTGAACACTCTGTAGACCCTTCCAAAAAAAAGTAATATATGTTGAATTCTAGAGATTTAAAATTGCATTCATCATATATGTGCTCCAATTGGCCGTGGGCCACATCGTAGGGAATGATCAATGACATTCGGTAAAAGAGGATGACAAATAACTGGCTCTTTTGATTGACACATTTTGGAGATTAATGGTGTGGAAACAGCAGTTTCTGGCTGCTGTAAAACAAAAGCTCAAACTCAGAAAAAATAGAGAGTAATGACCAAAAAAAGTTTTCATAGTGTATATGGTGGATAACAGAACTGATGCTTTTCTTTCTTTTTTCTTTCTTTCTTTCTTTCTTTCTTTCTTTCTTTCTTTCTTTCTTTTTCTTTCTTTCTTTCTTTCTTTTCTTTCCTTCTTTCTTTCTTCTTTCTTTCTTTCTTTCTCATTTTTTTGTGTATTTGGTACAGGGTTTCACTACACAGCTCGGACTCATAGTGACCTTCCTGTTTTCAGCCTCCACAGCGCTGGGATTACATGTGGGGGCCACCATGCCAGGACTCAGTAACAGGTTCTGTGTGCCCCACATGCAGGGCTGGAGAACCATGGTCCCTGTGCTTGCTAAAGCAGGCGCTTAGTGTGCTTAGCTATCTCATCAGTCCTGTGGTAGATTATTTTTTCTCATGGTGTCCACTGAGAAATTAAAAGGAGTTTCTAAATAAAAGAAATCAAACATTACTAATGAGAAAAACATTGCATGTTAGAGGTGATATAGTGTTAATTATGCTCAACTCACCGATATTCAGTGTATAACTGTATCAAATTATCTCTATATCCCACAGATATAGGCAAATAGCATGGATTAGTTAGATGTAGAGAACATGAGGTCATGATCCTATCTCACTCTAGTAAATGACAGAGGAAACCCTACAGGTCTCACCGGTGACTGGGAGACAACAGAAATGTTTTTCCTAAAACATGGAAGAAGACACATATGTACATAGCACTTGTGGAAATTTTACCTGGAGTGATTAGGTGAGAGAGCACATAAAGTGCATATAAACAGCAAAGTACGAAATCAAATTATCCTTATTTGAAGAAGTTGGGCTCCTCTGATAAGACCACAAATGTGATGTCAGAAGACTTGGATATGAGAAAGTCAAAAAGATGCCCATGTGCCAAGCAAGCAAACTCCGATCAGTAGCTGTTCTGTGCAAGAGTTAAGCCACTGCACACAACTGCATCACGATAGCTTCAAAACTTCTTATGCATAACTGTAAATTAGAAGGTAAAAGCCTTATGCAAGGAAATTACAGAAAATTGAGGACAACCTTGGACTACAGATAAACCTTGTGTGTTCATGGATCATCTGAATTAATACCACATGGATTAATATTGTTAAGGTGTTGTTAACAACTAGTCTACAAGTCTAAGGAAATATGTGTTTACATGAAAATAACATTCTTCGTAGATGTATGTAAAATCCCTAAAATTTACGCAGATGCAAAGAAAGCCAGAGCGGTGGTATAGCGGATGCAGTAGTGCTCAAGGAGTGGGGCTGCACCTGCCCGGAAAGTCTATTCAAAACACACAACAAGTACATAGAAGCAAGAGCAGCGTGATATGTCATGAAAACAGACATGTAGGCAACATGAACAAGGACACAGACGTCACCGTACTACTTCAGCTATCTGGTGCCTGAAAAAGGGCAGCAAGCATACCACTGGAGAAAACGTCTCAAATGTTATCTCCGTGTTGAGGTTCGGACCACATGATTTACTTTATACAAAGATTTACTCAGAC